ATATATATATATATATATATATATATATATATTATATATATATATATATATATATATATATATATATATTATATATATATATATTATATATATATATATATATATATATATATATATATATATAGATAGAAATTGAGTTTTGTGAATATGTATTTTTTTAAGTACGTGCATTTGGTAAAGATTCTTATCAGTAACTAGCAAAATAGTATAGATCTGATGTTTAATGTGCGCACAAAGTATTACACATATTAGGCTTGGATATAAGGCTTTAGTATTCATAAAAACATTCTGATATGTGATAGTTTACGTTGATCTTTGTGTAAAGTTGAGATCGGCACACGAAGGTGCTTAGTCATCTACGTATGTATATAGTATATATTTTGTCCTTCTCATGCGGATCATGAAGTGATACTTCTTGGTAATTCATCGATGTAGACATATTCGCACGCACATCGATAGCAATCCATTTTGGTATTTGTATGTGTATTTGGTTATACACTTTGGATCTGTTTCTGCTTTTGTGTTTGAATTGATTTGCACTGTATACTCGCAGGGTATCGTTCTCTGTTTAAACCAAGAAGTGAATGTCAACAGGATGTACACTGAATATTGCGCATGCAGTGGCTCACTCAACAAATTACTTACACACCCTAAACCCTAAAACCGCTCTCCTGATCTCCGTATTGATTGCCTCCTATCTTGGGCTAACCCAACTCGATACTTAATATGTGCCGTTGTGCCTTCAGGATTTTGAAGCCAGTTACGTAGTTGGCGACTACTACCACACTGCGGCTGTGTATGGCGTATCGCATCAGAAGAAAATGGTGGTGGTTGCCTTCAGGGGCACCAGAGAGACTGATCTGTGGAACTGGATCACAGACGTAGACTATCTCTCGGTATGCGATACCGCCTATGCCAAGGCTGTCCCGCACTCACTGTGAGAGACTGAGTCTAGTCGGAACTGTGAAAGTGCAAGCAGAGTGATCAGGTGTATGTATAGGGGAATTAGGCGCATATGTGATATTTCATTTGCTGGCGCGTCTCGTGTTGTCTTGAAATGTAATCTAACTGGATATGTTCTTGGCGATAGTGAATCTGGAGGGATGAGAATCTTGAGCTCTGCTCCTGTACACATGAATATACTCTTCTCTTCTGTGAGAGAGTCAATTCGTATACACACCAATGCAATATCATGGGCTATTTTTGTCTGCGTGTGGTTGCACTGCTTTTAAGCAGCTTGCAAGCACGACAGCACGGTTCCCATTCATCATCAGCTATACCATACCTTTGTCGTGGCCGTATCCTCAACAGTGTCGTGGATGTATGTGAAGACTTCGATACATCAGTGTTTGGTACCCTTGAATATGCAGTTATGAGATCGGGGGCGTTATACTGGTGTCCGCTTCACCGTCGTAGTTAGAATATCCACATTGCTATAAAGCCAATTGCCGCCTTCACGCACGAGCACCGTAGTGATATATGTATATAAATATTTGCTATGGCACCTTCACACTTCCAACATATCAAAAGAAGGAGCAGAAAGTGAATCAGATAAATAATATCACTTTCCGATACCTGGCTGACCTTCACTGACTTGCCACATGCGCAGACGCCTTATCCGTACATGAACACGACTCGGGTTCATAGAGGATTCCATAAATCCTTCGAGTACTCGTTCAAGGATACCCTAGGTATACACATACCGGTAAGTTAATTTCCGATCACATGATATGCGTGGTCCTATGTACATAATAAACAGGTACGTGAAGTTATATTGATGTTCTGTACACTTTGGCTGCCCAATGAACTTTATGGTTCTCTACAGCATTCCAACGACTAGCGTATTTTGCATATGTATAAGACCGTGCAAGAGTTTGCTGCATTTGGGAGTGCATATGTTACTTATTCAATCTCCATTCTTCCATCAGCACGTTCAAGGCTCATCCAGTACTATATTCCATACGCACAAACGAATAGCGCTTGCTTGAAAGCAATCCCGACTATAGGTTGATCATAACTGGGCATAGTATGGGGGGTGCACTGGCCACGCTTTGTACTACCTATCTGGCAGCAGTGATGAATATTCGTGCCACCAGGTGTGTATACTATCCCCAACTACGGTGGAGTTGTCCTTGTTCTCGTTGTAGTTTTTGTCTAGCCAAAGTCCCTGATATCATGCGTAGGAAAGCCCGGGAAATTAGTTTTGCATTCTGACAGACTACCATGCGTTTCGCTACATCATAGGCATGCGGTACATCTACTTCAAAAATGTTGCGTTGTGGCAAAAAGGCTTTACAGACTTCTCGACATTTTACCTTACAAGGTATATCTCTCCGCCACGAGCGACACCTATGTACCAATATCTCAATCAGTACTATTGCACTCTTGTGCACATCCACAGTTTGATTACATTCGGAGCACCGAGAGTCGGCAATGTGGATTTCTCACATTGGTTTGAGACGCTGAATATCCTGAGCTATCGGTTCACACATGGCAGAGATATTGTACCGCACCTTCCGCTGAATGTATATGACTACCTCAGATTCCGGCACATACCAAGAGAGATCTGGCAACCCAATGGCGTGAATGCAACTGTTCAGCATGTTTGTGACACCTCCGGGGAGGACCCCCTGTGCAGCGACTCTCTGTATTTCGCCCTGAGTATTTCAGATCACATCCATTACCTTGGTAGTAAAATAGGCACTTCGGAATGCGTACTGCCATAGCACCACTAATGAGACGGATCCATTTGTCCTACCAATGAGAGGGATTCATTTGTTCTGAAGGTGCAAGTGGATGCGCAATGCTACGCGATGAAGATATACTATGCCTAAAGGTGTCTTACAAATCTCAATTGTACGGCATACTTCGAACTGTTTTGCACCTAGCAATTTATCGGATTTAATGTTGGAACTGAGTAAAATATTTAGATGCATGTGTGGGTAGGCGTACTGTGTTGATTTGGAATACCTTATTAGACCTTATACCAACTGTGTTTGTTCAGCGATCCTGGGTTTTGCATTACACAATGTCAAGGTTAGCTTAACGTATAATTATTCCAGGATGTTGTATGCACAACAATTTGAGGTAAAACCCAGCAGTCATTTTTGGGTTTTCTATCAGTTTAAAATCTCATGACTCAGCCATAGCGAACAAAATTTTGTTCAAATTTTTTTTTTTGCCATTTTATGAGAATCGAGGGTGAAGATTCGTTCGACTGCCGATATTTAGAACTTCTTATAGATAATGACAGCATCTGACATACAGGGGTCTTTAATCAATGTATCTATGCGCATATCCAGCTGTATTTTCTTGGCCTCAGCAGCAAAGATGCTAGGTCTCAAATTGCAACATCAACGCATGTCTGGCTCTCTTAAATTTCGACAGTATAAAGCTATACAATTGTGGAAGTATTCGATCATACAGGATACTTGTCCATTACTGAATTACGGACAATTTAAACTCTACCGCAATGAGTTTCACAGAGAAGAACACAGACACACAAGACAGGACTCGAGAATCCATCGAAGATCACACGCAGCTATCAAACATACCCATACCGTTAGATGACAATAGAAGCGGTAGCGACACGAATAGCTTATCGTCGAGTGATTCAAGTATTGGACACAAAACCTTGAACGGTACGAGTTCCTCTACTCTGAACAGCGAGGGTATAAACTCTGATACCGATGATCTCAATTCTAGCGCTGAAGGCCTTCTCGGTGATACTAAACCCAAAACACTATCGTTCGAGCACAATGCAGTTGTTTCGGGTGGTGACAATAAGTCGGTTGTGCCCAAAAAGAAAGGACTAACATATGTCGAGAATCTACAGAACTACCACGGCGAAACTGTGGATGAGAAGTTGATATCATTTATTACGGACTCTCCGGTGGTTATGTTTTCGAAATCAGATTGCGAATTTTCGAAAGAAGCGACGAAGATATTTACTACGCTACAGGCTTGTGTATACGTGGTAGAACTAGATCGGATGGGTGGCTACGGTGAAAGTATTCTCAACGCAGTCAAAAGAATATCGAACTTGAAAACGGTGCCTGTTATATATATCAATGGTACTCCGATCGGAGGATGCACACAACTTAAAGCACTAGAGGCGTCGGGGGAACTTGTACGGATACTACGAACTGGCGAATCCGACTTTCTGGATCATAGACAAATATCCGACGTCGTGCTCTTCAACGATCAGGATAGGCCGTGGGAAGACCTGCTAATGCGGCCCCTCTTTGGCTTTCCAGATACACTCAACAATCACGTAGTGCGGATGAAGGCTCTTTTGGTATTCTGTATAGGCGTTTTGGGTGCTGTCTTTTGGGACTCGCAAGCAATGCACTGGGTCGTAGCAATTCTGCTTTGCGATTTCTTGCTCACCTTTCTTTTCGGTGGCACTCTGTCTCCGCTGTCCAGTTTTTCGGAGATTGCAGTACATAGACTGCCTATGCAACCCGTTAGCGGCCCTCCAAAACAATTCGCTGCCTTCTGTGGTATCATTTTCACCACTACATCGACTGCACTCTTCTTCGGGGGTTCAGGGGGCAAGACCACCAATGTAATCGGCGCAACATTTTGCGGTTTGTTGGCTATTGCGGCTGGATTAGAAAGTTTCCTCGACTTTTGTCTTGGGTGTAAATTCTTCGGATTGCTAGTGCGTATAGGACTTATACGGAAGTCAGTATTCAAGTTTCACATTCACCGCAATGAGGAGACTGCTCAGCTGTGGAAATCAATTCACGTGAAGCAGGAATACCCCGAGGCTGAGAAACAAACAGTTTCCACAGCTTCGCGCGAAACGTTTCGCCCTGATGGAATTCCACTTCTCACTCCGGCGGCTTACCAGTACAAGGTGAAGGAGGTTGATGAATGGCAGCATAAGTTTAATGTTGTGCGCTATGTGCAGATTGCATATTTTATGTGGCCCCTCGCTTTGACTTCGTGTGCAGTAGCGTTCTTCACAACGGAAACAACTTTGCCATGGATCTGGCAAACTATCGGTGTTGGTGCTGCAGGCAACTTTGCCATGCTGTTGGGCTTGTACGTCGTTCGGATGGTAATGTATCCTCGTAAAGTGCACAAGGAGTGGGCTTGCTCTAAGCGGGGACCCATGTTTGGCTTAATATTTATTACAGTGTCCCTACTATCTATCCTTCTCCGACACTTTACGCTAACAGGGGGTACTATCTTCGCATGGATTGGTGTTGCTGCACACCTTAGTATGTCGATTGTAATCGTCGCCAGATGGATTGGAAGGAGTCACGACTGGGAACACATAGACCACACGTGGCTTATAGTACCCGTAGGGAACTTCATCACTAGCGCTGTACTCGTGTCAGGAGACCCCGAGTTCTTTGAATTCGGTCTCTATCTTTTTGGCTTTGCTTTGCTGATGTGGCTGATGCTTTTCGCCATCACACTGCAAAAACACATCACTTCTGCAAACGCCGATGAACGATTGCGGGGCAATGTATTTCTTTGGGTCGCCTCCCCTGCTATTGCTTCGTATGCATGGACAACAATTAGTGGTACTGGGATGGATCTGTTTTCACGCGTGCTGTTCGGATTCAGCATAATTCTCCTGTGCTGTCTATTGTACACCGTGTTTCCCATGAAGGTTACATTGAATGGGGATACAGAGAAGCTCTCAATGTCTGTCCATGGAGTGGCGTTCGCAATCAACGCTGTTGCTCTCACTGCCATTTCCATCAATACCATTGATGACACGATCCTTAGTCGTTGGCTAGCACATGTACTACTAATCACCGGCTCTTGGTTAACAGCCGTGTACTCCATCCAGAGCATAGGTAGTATTATCGAGAAAAGACTTTTCCGACCGGAAGGCAAATGGGTATGTACTTGGCCGTGGCTTTTATTTATTGTTTGTTTATAGCATATTTACACTATAGAAAGCTTAAACTCAGATCACGAAATTAATTAACACGTCGTTTCTGTCGCTTTCTCCCTTCATCAAATAGGGACCATTCTCTGCCTTCAATACACTTGTACATGAATCGATCAGAGGTATGTCTGTGAAGCTCATGACGCTGTCGGAGGATCCAAAGGCGTGTATTAATCCTGAATTTTTACAGCTACTGGACTTATTCGAACGTGTACACAACGTACACGCGCAACAAGAGGATGAGTTTGTGTTCCCCACTCTCCACCAATACGTACCGGAGCATTCCGTACATGCTGAAGATGATCATATTCAACACCGCGAGGCATTCGGACTGATTGGAAAGATTGTTCGTGCTGGTTCTCAAGAGCGGGCAGACAAGGCGAAAGGGGACAGCGATGCTCACTTTTTGTTACAAACAGAATTGCGAGCCCTAGTTTCTGATTTGAAACATCATATGGATTGGGAAGAGCAACATCTACAACCAATCAGTCGCAAATATGTGCCCGTGCAAATGCAGAAGACCATAGTGCGGCAAATGTGGGAGAGTGTAGCTGCTAGTGAATGGAGGGTGCTGGTGCCTGTACTGATTAGGTACATGCCTTACCATTATCAACGTGTTCGATGGTGTCGATCTCTTCTGTGGGCGATGCCAGAGAGAGGTGAACAAATTGGATTGTACCTTTATCACGGCTTGTCCGATGTTTATTGGGCAGCATTGCTCACAGATGTGCCAGAACTTGCCCCTCGATCCAGGGGCTGGACACAGTGGTGGGGATGGTTCCGATATTACTAGATACGAACAATTAGCGGAATAAATAAGTTTGCAATGAATTTGTACAC